CTCTCTTTACGCATTCCATAACTTCCATACTTTCTTACAAAAACATGAGCAAGAGAGTAAAACACAAGAGCCATACATAAATATTCACCTGTCGCATTGTCTAATTATTCTTTCTATATACATTGTATTTCACCCACCCCAAAACAATTCCACAGTTTGACACTGACCTCTGAAATACACGTGTGTAATCCATCCATCCATCTTCTCCCGCTTATCCGTGGTCGGGTCGCGGGGGTAGCAGTTCCAGCAGAGAGCCCCAAACTTTCTTTTCCCTGGCGACATCAACCCGCTCTGACTGGGGGATCCCAAGGCGCTCCCAGGCCAGCGAAGAGATATAATCCCTCCACCTGGTCCTAGGTCTACCCCTTGGTCTCTTCCCAGCTGGACGTGCCTGGAACACCTCCCTAGGGAGGCGCCCAGGTGGCATCCTAACTAGGTGCCCCGAACCACCTCAACTGGCTCCTTTCGACGCGAAGGAGGAGCGGCTCAACTCCGAGTCCCTCCCGGATGACCGAACTTCTCACCTTATCCCTAAGGGAGACACCAGCCACCCTGCGGAGAAAACCCATCTCGGCCGCTTGTATCCGCGATCTCGTTCTTTCGGTCATGACCCATCCTTCATGACCATAGGTGAGGGTAGGAACGAAAATGGCCCGGTAGACAGAGAGCTTTGCCTTCTGGCTCAGCTCCCTTTTCGTCACAACGGTGCGGTAAAGCGACTGCAGTACCGCTCCCGCTGCTCCGATTCTCCGGCCCATCTCACGCTCCATTGTTCCCTCACTCGAGAACAAGACCCCGAGATACTTGAACTCCTTCACTTGGGATAAGGACTCATTCCCTACTTGAAGTGGACAGTCCATCGGAGTAGTAATCCAGTTATACTAAAAATCAGGTTTTCTCCTATGCTCTACTGAACTAAGAGAAAACTACTTTGGTGAGTCTTCTGGTAGAACTTTGCTTCTTGCCCTGTTCATAACTTAAACACACACAGATATGCCTATAGAACAACCACATCTGTAGGTTTCATCAGTCTTTCTTCTAGTAGTCCTGATTGTGGTGTTCTCTTGAATCCACTTTGTTTCCTAACTGAAATGAATGTCTGGTTTTCATTGACTCGTGTCAGTCTTTCCTCCTCTCATTTTTCTTTCTGTTTCAGACGTTTGTTTCGGGCATGAAGGTTTTGGCTTGTTGGACAGACTGTCGTTTCTACCCGGCAAAAATCCTCAGAGTGAACAAAGACGGTGAGTTTCTACTTCAGCTTCACACCTGATGTTATTATTAAATAATCAATTAGTAAAACCACTGAAAGTGAAGTAACAACTCTATTGTTTAAAAACATGGAGGGGGAGGTCTACTGTGTTTAAATGACGTTTGAGGACATGAGGAGAGTTGGTTGTTCTGTTGAGATAATGGCACATTTGACTTTTGACCCTCCCACACCATCAGCTGCGATTCTCATCACACAAATGGGAGATTACATGTTCAAAGGGAAATAAAAAAGCTTTCCAGCGGAGTGGGACATAATATAAACTGGACGTAAATAATTAAATATGATCCACCAATCACAAATATTAACACTATTTTGACATCTTTTTTTTTGTTGAGTTCTTACATTCGCCCAAACGTTTACTTCAAGTTTCAACCTGGAGTTATATTTAGTCGTGTGTGTGTGTGTGTTTTCAGACTCCTACAAAGTGCGTTTCTATGACGGCGTGGTTCTGACTGTGAAGCCCACTAAGATCAAACCCTTTAAGGAAGTAAGTAATGCTTCACTCCTATTGGTCCGCATCTGATTGTCTGCTCCAATTCAAAACTCCCCTGATCATAATGTGTGTGTGTGTGTGTGTGTGTGTGTGTGTGTGTGTGTGTGTGTGTGTGTGTGTGTGTGTGTGTGTGTGTGTGTGTGTGTGTGTGTGTGTGTGTGTGTGTGTGTGTGTGGCACAGAAGTCCAGACCTAAGAAGAGTGCGGTGGGAAGCGAGGGATGGGAGGAAGGTGAGAGCGAGGAGGAGGGGGAAGAGAGAAAGGAGGAGGAGGAAGAAATGGAGGAGACGAAAGAGGAGACGAAGGAGGAGACGAAGGAGGAGACGAAGGAGGAGACGAAGAAGGAGACGACCTCAGAAACGAAAGAAGGAGATGAAGAGGAGGAGAGGAAGGCAGAACCTTCATCCTCCCATCCACCAGCAAAGAAGAAAACAGATGAAGGTAAGTTAAAAATAAAAAGATATACAATCTTTCATTTTTTATTTGAATAAATCTGTATCTTTTTTTTATGGATGATGACTCTAATCCAAGTTTCTGACACTTCTAACTAAAACTAATGAACTAATCCTCTTCCAGGTAGAAGCAGTAGAGCTCAGAGTCAGCCAATCACAGCTGACCCCGCCCCCCCTGCTCCCCCTGACTCCGCCCCCTGCGACAGAGGTAAACATCAGAGAGTTTCAGACATGAATAATTACTCCATTGGCCTGAAGATAAGAGAACTCAGATGTTAGAGTTGTGTTTAAAGTGAGAGCGAAGCAGATTTTAGAAGCAGCACAATTGATACGTGATTTGATGCGTACGATGTTAACTTTGTTGTAGAAAACAGACTTTAACGCAGCTGGTTTGTGCTGCCATTATGATGCTAATGCCCCATTTTGTCTGCTATATAACCGATGTATATTTCTTCAGCTCTCATATATAGCGATCTCTTTGATTGTTCGATTGTCTTTTCTTTGCAGACGTCCTGTTGGAGCGTCAGTCCCACCTGCCCACCACTCACAGATTCAGCAGAGAGCCACGTGAGTTAATAGACAAACTATTATGCGCCACATAGTAGGGCTGCTCGATTATGGCAAAAATCATAATCTCGATTATTTGGGTCAATCATTGATATCACGATTATTAAAAACGATTATCCATTTACTCTGAAAACGTCCATTTATTGAAAATAAACAATGTGAGCAGTATGTTTTTAACAGTTGATTACTCTGAACTTTAAAGTATAATTCAACTGAAAAACCAATATAAAAATAATTCAAAATAAAATAAATAATCGTTTTATTTCGATTATGTTCTTTTCATAATCGTTGCAAGCCAAAATCGTTATTGCGATTAAAATACGATTAATTGAGCAGCCCTACCACATAAACACTAGACACAATTTAAGTTTAAAGTTAATACAATACGGTGAGTGAATTGAAAAATGTGTGTTATAGATCTGTGTTTTGGTTCTGTGTGATCGAGAATATGTAACGTATTAAGGGTTTGACGTTTGTTATGTGTCTACCTCCACTGGAACAGCAGATGGAAATGAGCTATAAGCTCAAATCTGGCTTTATAACTATTAATAATATTGTTTTCAGAACCACGCCGTCATAGAAACGCACTTTGTAGGAGTCTGAAAACACACACACACACACGACTAAGTTCAAAAACATAATACATGTTTCAAAATGATATTGAGGCCACTGGGATTACCTTTTTGTCAGTGGTAGAGAATATCTTGTGTAATGTTTCTTGTGCTCAGCTCAGTTTATTTATATTTTCTTACCTTGAGCTTGACTTCATTTGTTCAAATCTAGCGCCTCCACTCAATCAACATACTCTCTTATTCGCACACAGTCTCCCTGGAAACTGTGAGAGAATTAGCACTCATCACTAAAAATAACACCCTGTGAATTGGTGTGTACCAAACAAGTAAATCTATTAAACCAAAGATGTTCTATAAGTAAAGATAGCGTCATCGGTCATTATATGTGTTTCATTTACTTCTCTCATCTCTCAGACCTACATTTAGTCGAGTCTCTTATGGCGCATTTCCCCTGCAGGGCCTCGCACGGCTTAGTACGGTACAGTTAGGATCACTTTATGCTGCGTTTCCATTACAGTTTAGGAACTGGGGTAGTAACTATAGTAACGCAGTGTAGGCGGAGCCGTGACGTCATCTTCAATGCGAACCACAGAAACCAACTTCAGCCGTTAGCTCTTAGCACTCAGAGCTCACAGCTCCTCATATCTGTTCAGAAACTAGACAAAAGTTAAACAAGTACAAACCACAGACTGCCTGTGTCATGGAGAATACAGTCGCTGGTTTATTTATGTCTGTATAGGCCGTTGTTGTGAGTGTGGACGGTCGGAGCATATATAACGTTAGCTTAGCTGATCTCCATTCAGAAAACACACATTTTAAAAGGTTTTTCGCCTGCCGTCTGTCTGCAGACTTGTCGAAGCATTAATTCATGGTTTTTACTAACCGGTATCAGTATGTTGTTACTTCGGCATCATTTTGAAACAATTAATTAATTACAATTCAAATCACAGGTCAAATAGTGTTCATGTTGTTGTAGTTGCCAGCGATTCTCTCTCTAGTTTAGCATACTCAGCCCGGTTGTTGGCCCGGAAAGAACCTCGATTTTGGAGACCCAGAAAAACTGTGAAAAAGTACCCGTTAGCCGGAACTACGCCGAGTGGAAACGCAACAAAAAAGGGGCCAGGTTTGGCAGGCTTAAACCGCGCTACACGCTGCAGTGGAAGTGCGCCATTAAAGAGCGCTGCCATGGAGAAACCCATGTCTCACATTTTAAGGAAATTGACTGTAGTGCGGCATCTTAAACGTCTTTGATGAAACCTTACTTTGCATTTTATACTTACATGTTTGTTTTTAACAAACGCTCTCTTCTTCCTCTCCTTCTCTTCTCTCCTCCCATCTCCTCTCTCTCAGTGTACAGGGTGATAAAGAACCAGCCCCCTCCCATCCTCTCCATTGAACTGGACCACAACCCCTTCAAGTGTCCGTCGGCCGGCTGCATGAAGTCCTTCAGGAAGGCCAGTCTGCTGCACTACCACATCAAGTATTATCACTCTGACCAGCATCTGGACGAACAGCTGGAGCCCCCGAGGTGAGTCACAGGTTCAAATCCCAGAGCAGGAGCCCCTTCGCCCCTTTTTGCCATCTTCTGGTTGGGTTTACGATATGCCTCTCACACATATACCTCCTAAATCTCAGACTAGTAGATGAAGCACAACGAGGGGCTGCTTTTTAGTACATGTGTAGTGGGCGCTATAGAGCTGATGACATTTTGCCCAGTCCTGACATGTGTGCAAAACATCTCCAGCTTTTAAGAATGCTAAGGTCCTCAAAAACGCAACTCAATTTGGATAAAAATAATAATGCTAGCAACTTCAAAAGGTCCTTTGCTCCGACTCTCTCAGTGCTCGGGCCCTAATTAAAGGTCACCTATTATTCAAAATCCACTTCTTCATGTCTCTTCTACATCAACATGTGTCCCCTCTTCTTCATGTCTCTTCTACATCAACATGTGTCCCCTCTTCTTCATGTCTCTTCTACATCAACATGTGTCCCCTCTTCTTCATGTCTCTTCTACATCAACATGTGTCCCCTCTTCTTCATGTCTCTTCTACATCAACATGTGTCCCCTCTTCTTCATGTCTCTTCTCAATCAACATGTGTCCCCTCTTCTTCATGTCTCTTCTACATCAACATGTGTCCCCTCTTCTTCATGTCTCTTCTACATCAACATGTGTCCCCTCTTCTTCATGTCTCTTCTACATCATCATGTGTCCCCTTCTTCTTCATGTCTCTTCTACATCAACATGTGTCCCCTTTTCTTCATGTCTCTTCTACATCAACATGTGTCCCCTCTTCTTCATGTCTCTTCTACATCAACATGTGTCCCCTCTTCTTCATGTCTCTTCTACATCAGCATGTGTCCCCTCTTGTTCATGTCTCTTCTACATCAACATGTGTCCCCTCTTCTTCATGTCTCTTCTACATCAACATGTGTCCCCTCTTCTTCATGTCTCTTCTACATCAACATGTGTCCCCTCTTCTTCATGTCTCTTCTACATTAACATGTGTCCCCTCTCCTTTCATGTCTCTTCTACATCAACATGTGTCCCCCTCTTCTTCATGTCTCTTCTACATCAACATGTGTCACCTCTTCTTCATGTCTCTTCTACATCAACATGTGTCCCCTCTTCTTCATGTCTCTTCTACAATCAACATGTGTCCCCTCTTCTTCATGTCTCTTCTACATCAGCATGTGTCCCCTCTTGTTCATGTCTCTTCTACATCAACATGTGTCCCCTCTTCTCCATGTCTCTTCTACATCAACATGTGTCCCCTCTTCTTCATGTCTCTTCTACATCAACATGTGTCCCCTCTTCTTCATGTCTCTTCTACATCAACATGTGGTCCCCTCTTCTTCATGTCTCTTCTACATCACATGTGTCCCCTCTTGTTCATGTCTCTTCTACATCAACATGTTGTCCCCTCTTCCTCATGTCTCTTCTACATCAACATGTGTCCCCTCTTGTTCATGTCTCTTCTACATCAACATGTGTTCCTCTCTTCTTCATGTCTCTTCTACATCATCACATGTGTCCCCTCTTCCTCATGTCTCTTCTACATCAGCATGTGGTCCCCTCTTGTTCATGTCTCTTTCTACATCAACATGTTGTCCCCTCATTCCTCATGTCTCTTCTACATCAACATGTGTCCCCTCTTCTTCATGTCTCTTCTACATCAACATGTGTCTCCTCTTCTTCATGTCTCTTCTACATCAACATGTGTCCCCTTTTCTTCATGTCTCTTCTACATCAACATGTGTCCCCTCTTCTTCATGTCTCTTCTACATCAACATGTGTCCCCCTCTTCTTCATGTCTCTTCTACATCAACATGTGTCCCCTCTTCTTCATGTCTCTTCTACATCAACATGTGTCCCCTCTTCTTCATGTCTCTTCTCAGAGATGTTCACAAGTCTTTTTTTTGCAAGTCCAAGTCAAGTCTCAAGTCTTTGGTCACGAGTCCAAGTCAAGTCTCAAGTCTCTAAAAAATAAAAGTCTCATGTCTCTTCTGGTTGTAATAAGCCTTCTATTGTCTGCTGCTATCCAGTCTGTTAAGAATACTGCACAGCTATATCTAAGACATTCAAAGCATTTACTGTATTATTATCACTCCTATATCTATTAGCATACAGTATCAGTACTGATTAGTTGTTTGTTATATGATCACTTTAAACAGGCTATTGCAATGCAATATGAGGAAAAACATCACACTTTAGCTAAATGCAAACAACTTATAAGCAAAACACTTCAGAATCAGAAATCAGTATCACAAATACTTTATTAATCCCCCGCAGGGAAACTGTGTTAAAAGTAAACATTTGTTCTGTGCCATTTGCAACTAAAAAACTATTGCTGCAATATTATCTGAAATATACTGAACTGGTGATATTAAAACATGACCTGTTCCAAAAGAGATATCTACCATTAACACCATTTACCAGCCAAATGCTGGTAAATCATGCAAGTGGCTGGTACTGTATGTTGCACGCACCAGCCAAAAATAACAATGGCAATATATTGAGTGGCTGGTAACATTTCAACATTCACTAGGCTAGCCATTTGGCCAGTGGACACACATGTTAAAATTTGACCTCTGCAACCGTATTGTTTAATTACACTGGGTCTCTAATGACATCTTTTAAGTCTACTATAAATAAACATATTCCTCTATCCTCTCACTCAAACCCAGTGTAATGGTAACCCGATAAACCTGTAACATTAACGTTACGTGGTCAACAATAAACCTGTAACCTGCCTATAAACCGACAGATGTATTTATGTATGTAACTATGTATTTTTCTACGTTTAACGTTAGCCAGTAGATGGTGGCAGCGGAACGTAATGATTAACGTTACCGACCTTTTTTATGTCATGTCAAGAGTTGAATGTCAACGCCACTCAACGCAAACAAGTGTGACAAGCAAACATTCACTCATCTTTTCAAATATTCAGTTACAAAGCTAGTAGCAAGCTAAATTAACATTACATAGCTGATGCTGAGCTAAACATGTTTGCTAACCGTCCATATGCGTTAATGTGACTGACCTCTCCGGGTGAGTTTTCAAGTGCCTGATGAAATTTGACGTTGTTGCACCAGCATCCTTGATTTTAATATTGCAGACTTTGCAGTGTGCGCTCCTTTTGTTGGTGCCGCCGGCGTTTTGTTCGAAGTTTTTATAGTTGAACCTAATTACAAGCGGTACACAAGCTGCACCCCACCCTCTCCCTCGAGCCCCACATCCGTCATGTTGTCAAAATCTCATTTTTCCACCTCCGCAATATTGCCAAACTCCGTCCCTCTCTCACCCGCCCTGCAGCTGAGCGACTCATTCACGCCTTCATCTCCTCCCGCCTTGACTACTGCAACTCACTCCTCTGGCATCAGCACTACACCCCTCAGTAGACTCCAGCGTGTCCAGAACGCAGCCGCCAGACTCCTCACCCACACCAAATCATGGCATCACATCACCCCGGTCCTCAAAGAACTCCACTGGCTCCCCGTTACACACCGCATCAATTACAAACTCCTGGTCCTCACTTATAAATCCCTCCACCATCTGCCCCCCCCTACCTCACTGACCTCCTCACCCTCTACCAACCACCCCGGTCCCTCAGATCCACCTCAGCCGGTTTGCTTTCAATCCCCAAGGCCAAACTCCGGAGCTTCGGGGACAGAGCCTTCTCTGTGGCAGCCCCGAAGCTCTGGAACTCACTCCCCCAAGACCTCCGTGAGTCTGAGTCCCTCACCCTGTTCCAGTCCTGCCTCAAAACCCACCTCTTCAACTCTTTATCTATAAGCCCCCCCCCCCTCTTAATCAACTTCCTCCTGACTGCTTTTCTGTTGTGTTTTGTTTCTTTTTGGGTTTGTCTCTGTTTTTTGTTTTGTTTGTTAGTGCTGGGGGGAAACGATTATTTTGAAAACGATTAATCGGGCGATTATTTGATCGATTAGTCGACTAATCGAACGATTATTTTTCTGTTGTTCAATTCATAAAAAACGTAATGTAAAAAAAAAAAATTTCACGATACTGTGTCTCAGGGGATCTTAATATTTAAGAACCTATTAATGTGTTATACCAGATTAACGGAAATAATCTCAGCTAACTGACGATACAAACCATGTTTACCAAAACAAAACACAAGTCTCATAAGAAGCATCTAAATGACCCCTGAGCGAAAAATGCTAACGGGCATTGGCACAGATCTCAAGATAAAAGTACCCTTATTACTTATCGTAGCTGCACATACAAGATATCCGATTAAAGCTGAGACTCCACAGATTATGTAGGTACATAGTATCATCACTGAGTGATCCGGACTCGCGACAGGGGAAGCAAATACAGTCATCACAACACGTACCTTCACAGAGCTTCTAGGGAGATCGTCTCACCGCCGTAGCTGTCAATCTGATCAAAATACGTGTTCAATGGCATTCAAATGAGAAAAAACGCGGCTGAATCGGTTAATCCATAGGTTTTTAACGTCTATGTATAAAAAAATGATTGAATTTATAATCCATAATTCCATTTTAAATCGGAGAGCTAATGCTAGCTGCTAATGGTTGCCACCACAGCTAGCTGCTGCTTCCGGTCAAGCAGCAGTCTCAGTGAGATATAAATATATAAATATCTTTGCGTTTTGGACTAACTTTAAAATATTCCCATGCTTTTGAAGACCTAGGGCGAGATGTTTTCGTTTGAGGGCTTCGTGCGCAATCCTGTGAGGAGGAGTTGGTAGCCGTTTCAGTCTCCATTGTGTTAGAAGTGCGATTGCGAACTGCTTGTTGCTTTGGGTGACCCACGTGTGTGTGGCGTCATACAGTCTATGGTGGCGACGCGTCGACGCGGAAATATGTCGTTGACGATATTTTGAAGTCGACGCGTCGCTACAGCACTATTGTTTGTATACCCCCCCTCCCAAATGTAAAGCGTCTTTGGGTCCAGAAAAGCGCTATATAAAATTAATATATTATTATTATTATTAGGTGTCCCGCCGGTCGCCATGGTGTTACCATGATGTTAATGTTAATGTTAAAGGTGGGGTAGGTAAGTTTGAGAAACCGGCTCGAGATACACTTTTTGTTATATTCCATGGAATGCTCTTAACATCCCGATAGCCGGCCCGGCTAAAGTAACTGGATGGCCTACCTGCCTGTCAGCCATCCATCGGGGCACAAACTTATCTCGTGCCCTCATTGGTCATGTGCGCGTTCGTGTGTGTTGGAGGAGGGGCTCTGTGAGGAAGTGGCAGATTTTCTCCGGATGTGTATTTTCAAATTCTAGCGATCTCGAGCCGGTTTCTCAAACTTACCTACCCCACCTTTAATACGCCAAAAATAGAAAACACAATGATTGTTCACGAGTCCCAAAACACGAGTCCAAGTCGAGTCCGAAGTCTTTTGAGCAGGAGTCCAAGTCAAGTCTGAAGTCTCTGTGTGTGCGACTTAAGTGCGACTCGAGTCCGAGTCACAAACTCGAGTCCCCATCTCTGTCTCTTCTACATCAACATGTGTCCCCTCTTCTTCATGTCTCTTCTACATCAACATGTGTCCCCTCTTCTTCATGTCTCTTCTACATCAACATGTGTCCCCTCTTGTTCATGTCTCTTCTACATCAACATGTGTCCCCTCTTCTTCATGTCTCTTCTACATCAACATGTGTCCCCTCTGTGGAAAGAGACTCTGAAAGTTTCAGGAACAAAGATTCTCTCTCTTTTTGTCCTGATCCATTTCTATAAAAACCTGTCTGAAAATGAGCTGATCAGATTTTGGCCACTTAATGATGTCATAACCAGGGCTGCACATAACTGGTGCGCACGTCCGCCAAAAAAAGAGCACCGGGTCATTTGAAACAAAGCGCATTTGCGTACCAACATTGAGAGAGGGAGAGAGAGAAGAGAAAAGAGAAAATAGAGGAGAGATGAGAGAGAGAAGAGAGAGAGAGAGAGAAAGATATTTGCGAGTTGCATACATGTATGAACCATGATATGAACTCAGGGCCGGCCCGTAGCACTGGCTAGATGTTCGCCTAGGGCGCCAAATCTGTGGAGGCGCTGCACTGGCAGTTCTGGGAGGGAAAAAAACATTTTGACCGTTGGGGTTCATCCTAATTTTCGGCCTTGATGTAACAATATTCATAATTAAGTAAATGTAACACCCTTTTCACCCCGGTTACACGTTTCATTTGCCCTGTACGATGGGCGCTGTAAGTGATGAAAATGGGGGATGTTGGCTTATCTGGCGCCCGCAGCTCACAGCCAAAATGCGAGTGAGCGAGGGAGGGTGCACCGGTACCGGCGCTATTGTTATTAGCATCTGGTGCCGTGCTAGCTGCTCTAACGGATATAAGAAGAAGATGTTTCTACAATAATGTGGAGGGAGAGTCCTCTCCAGTCAGACTGATAACTACAGCTCAGTGAGGTAAAGTCTAAGTTCAAACGGTTTGGTCGCAATTTATGTAAACACATATTTCCAAGGCACTCCTTTATAATTATTGGGATAAACAGGTTTGAAATCATTCCAATGTATACTATAGGACAGTAACCAAAAATATGCTTTAAAACTGGAGAGATAAAAAAAAATGCATAAATAAATAAATGTTAGGTAAAATAAGATATGAATGAACAACACAAATAAAATAAGTTACATTAATTTGTTATTGGCTATGGTAGGTTATTGGTTATGTTCACATACTTATTTGATTACATCCTCTTGTCTAAGATGACAACAGAGACTTTCGACCCAAAACCAGCTGTTGACTTGTGGATGCAAGCAGCTAATCACAGACTCAACCAGAGAGAAAGAAGTAGGCCTACATCATCAGCTACCATGTCTGACAGAGAGGAAGACAGTGAGGAGAACAGTCAGGAGGGTAGTGATGACAGCTTGTAGGATTACTGGTCGTGCTAATGTTGTCTTGTGTTCACCTCACGTGTGTTCAGTGCCGTGTGTCAGGCAAATAAAGTCAAGACCCCCTCAAAAGTTACGATTTATTTCATTTTAAGGATGAGCACCAAGCAACATCTCCAGGTGCTCCTTTGAGAACCAGGGTAAAAAAGTTATGTGCACCCCTGGTCATAACGATGTTTTGGGTTGTGTGTGAAAGAAACAAAACATGCTGTACCGAAGCAAATATACACCAAATAAAACCGTAATGGTGGAAAGAGGGTCATATGAGGACAGATGTGTCTAACACTCACTGCTGTTGTTTCAGGAGGAAGCGGTCGTCTTCTCAGGGGAGAGACTTCCTGTCGGAGAGGAAGAGTGAGGACCAGCACAGCATCTGTCACCGTGACGACAGAGAGCCCAGCACAATCACAACAACAGGTAGGAACAACAAACCCTTTTAATGCAAGGTTAAAATGTGGTATTTTAAAAGTGTGATTTTTATCCATATGCCTCACTAGCATTTCTTTTTAGATCAGTTTGACTCTGTAAATGTGTTTGGCTTACGTTTTGGCAGCGTTGGAAGAAGTACTCTCAGATCCTTTACTTAAGTACAAGTACAAATACTATGGTTTTAAAATACTCCACTACAAGTAAAAGTACTGATTTAAAAACATACTTTAGTAGAAGTACAACAAGTAAGGGATAATGTGCAGCGATTCGGTCATTATGGGGAAAAGAACACCGACAGGCTGATCAGGAGCCCGGTGCGAAGCGGAGGGATCTAGATCGGCATGAACATTATCCCGCTTATTACACATGGCCACATTCTCAACAAAGTAACGACATGACTCCCAATATTAATTGAAATGCTTTTATGGATTTAGAAAATGATTTTATTGATTTAAAAAATAGTTGTATTTATTGAAATTGACATGCATCCGCTAAGAAAAGTAGTCCGTTGTTGAACTAACGTAGCAACGGCAGGAACTGCTTCGATAGTGTTTTTGAGGAGCTTTTTGATTACAGATTTGAAAACATCGTTGCTTGCTTTAAAAGTAGCACAATTCATTATGTCAAACCTTGGAAAGTATCTAGATATCCCTGCCCTAATGCCAAAGTAACTGGCAACTGAATATGTGTCGCCGTTTGATGTCTATGTCTGGACCGCTGCGTAAAAAGGAGGGTTTCTGCCCCGTTACTTCTCCGCTGTTTTCTTGTCCCTCCTGTCTTTTTCTTTTCTTCACTGGGGACTCAACAGCCACTAACCATTCCTCCAAATTACTGTGCTCTCCAAATATATTAAAATTAATGTTAAAATCCTCCATGTTGCTATCACACGACAGCGGAAAACTAAAGACAATCAGACAGTTTGCTTTTCAAACTGTTACATTTGAAAAACAGTTAGAGCGTCTCTTGTCAGTTTGAAAAGCCAACGGTAGGAACTGCTTGCGTTTTTGAGGAGCTTTTTGTTTACAGATTTGAAAACATCGCTCCTTGCTTTAATAGTAGCACAATTCATTAAGTCAAACCTTGGAAAGTATCTAGATATCCCTGCCCTAATGCCAAAGTAACTGGCAACTGAATATGTGTTGCCGTTTGATGTCTATGTCTGGACCGCTGCGTAAAAAGGAGGGTTTCTGCCCCGTTACTTCTCCGCTGTTTTCTTGCCCCAGAAAAGCAAACTGCATGCAGTTAAATCGACCGGACTTCTTTCTGAAGATGTGAGCGTCCTTAACAACGGTCAATAAGTCCTTGACAGCGGTCTGTCTGTTCGGTATTAACAACGTGTCACGTGTTCTGAATTGACCAATCAGAATCGAGTATTCAACTAAGCCATGTAATAAGTATCAATACATACTCAGAAAAAGTACTCATTCTGCACAATGACCAATTTCAGAATGATATAAGTACAGAAGTATTATCAGTTAAATGTACTTCAAGTATCTTAAGCACTTGTGATTCTCAGAGTAAATTGCTTTTGATTGTTCAAACAGGAGGTAACAACAATGTGATTTGAGTGTCAGTTTTCATCCCTGGTCCAAAGTTACAGAGGGGGGGGGGCAAATCCGGCCTAACACCAGTTCTGCCATGTCTAGAAGCCATATCTCTGAAAATGTACATAATAGTTGGAGATTTTATGTAATGCAATATATTTCAGTGTCATGGAGAGTGTCTTAAAAAGGCCGCCTTGTTACAGCCAGGACGTTTCACTTAACAGAAAGATTATTATCACTTTTGATCCTCATCGTCTTAACCCTCCTGTTGTCTTCGGGTCAAATCTGACCGATTTACTACTTTCATCAATCATAACTTTTTTGTTTTACTTTTGACTGCATTAAGGCTTTATGGTATCCTTCACAGTAGACATTTGAACATATCTGATCACCACTTTCATTGCATTTTGGATGATTTAGTCAACTTTGTAACACCCATGGTGTTCCCGCTAAAAAATGACCGCAATAAAGAAAAGGAATTAGTAACCATCCGGATCAGATAAAACACACACACACACACACACACACACACACACACACACACACACACACACACACACACACACACACACATACTCTAGATGTGTCCCCCCCCCTTATGTGCCCAATCCCCCCATGTGAATCACACCTGACACACACAAACACACACACACAGAACAATTTGACACATTTCCCGCTCTTATGTGCCCATCCCCCCACATGGATCACACCTGGCACACACAATACATGTTCAGTGTCTATTCTTTGTATATTTACTGCAGTTGTTCGTGTACACCAGTAGTCTGATACAATATTTACAGTTTGAAAGGGTGTTAAATGAAACTTGGTGATGATTAATGGTGTTTGTGTTAATGTAATAGCAGTTAAAACAGGACCGGTCAAATTTGACCGCGAACACCAAAGTAAGGGGGGAAACGAAGACAATAGGAGGGGTAAGATGCTACTGCTCACAACTGTAGGAGTAGTCCATTCAAAAAAAGTGCAACAACTGGCCAAAAGTCGCACATAAAATAAAAAATGGCCATCTTCGGGTTTAGGATGTGCCTCTCACCATGCCACATATACCTCCAATATTTCAGACTAGTAGATTAAGCACAATGAGGGGCTGCTCTTTAGTACATGTGTAGTGGGCGCTACAGAGCTGATGACATTTTCCCAAGTCCTGATATGTGGGCAAAACATCTCCAGCTTTAAGGAATGCTAAAGTCCTCAAAAACGCAATTAATTTGGGATAAAAAGAATAATAAGAATAATGCTAGCAACTTCAAAAGCTCCGACTCTCTCAGTGCTCGGGCCCTAATTAAAACAGATTCAGCTTTCACAACTCAGCAACATGACTTTTCTTTCTCACCCGTCTCTAAGCAGAAGTGAAGCGTGAAGAAGAGGGGGAGAAATCGGTAGAACAGGAGAGGAAGGAGAGGAAGAACTTCCTTCGGGTCAAACTAAAGAAGAAGAAAAAGAAGAAGAAGAAGAAGAAAAGTCAGCCAGGTGAGTCAGTGAACAGACCCGACGCATGACTCGCTTTATTGGACTGTGTTTAAGACGATTACAAGAGCAAACCACAACGTTATGTACCGGAAACACAGAGATACAGATACGACTTTACTAACAGTAGTGCAGCACCAGAGTATCTGTTACCTCATCGATCACCGATAAGCTTCAAATGTCTTCTTAGTCTTCAGAAAATGTCCTCAATTCCACTCTACGTCTCATTGGAAATGTGTTTTTTCTGAATAACATAATGTTTTTTTGGGTGTTTGGTCTTTGAATTAAATCCAAAACACAAATTTGAGTGAGTTTTGACTCAGATAAAGAGTACACATTTCCAAGGGGTTCATTGTGCAACAGAGATTGCACTATGAAATGAAGTTGTCCGTTTTGCTACACAAGAACAACAATAAATAAAACACCAGGAAGACAAAAATGCAGTAGACCTGCCGGACAGGCAGGTCTACTGCACTTTTTTAAATGTATCTAAAGTCCGCGTCACACTGTCCCGAAATTGGCACCCGATGGACACACGATAAAGGAAATGTTCAAATTCAGCTCTGATCATAGCAACTAGGGTTGCCAGAAACTGACCATGATCAAAATCGATTAATCGATCGATCGGCCGACCCCCCCCCCCTCCCCCCGCGGGACAAAAAAAAAAAACTTAGACAAAAGGAATTCTGTTGTTTTCTTTACTGGAACATGTTTAACAGTACAAACAAAATAAACAACAAATAAACCAACATCAACATGATGTTGGTTTATTTTTTGTTATTTTCTAAAGTGCCTGCCATAAAGGCAATGGCAGGCACTTTAGACAATAACAAAAAATAAACCACCATCATGTAGCCTGTATTAATAATAGCAGCATTGAAATACATTCAATAATTAGCCTATAGTTCCACGAGGAGGAACTCTTTTTACCTGCCGCTTTGTTCATCTTTAGTCGCACGTGTGAGGGAGGGCGGGGTCGGTGTGTAGCGTGCTGCAGCAGCAGTCTGCTCTGCACGCAGGCTTCCTCCAAGTTTACAGTAAAACAAACTGGTGGTGTGACCAATGGCCATTTACAATTGTTAATACTATTACTATTATTAGCATTAGTCTATATTTTGGTTGAAACTAAGCCAGAAAAAAGAAAAAAACATAAATAATAATAAAAAAATATATAAATAAAATCGATTTTTAAAAATAATATTCGATTATGGAGACTGTAACGATTAATCGAATAATCGAATAATCGCTGGCATCCCTAGTAGCAACATCGGGCCATTCGTGAGGGCATCTTAAGCCTTCGTATGACCACCGGTGGAGTTTCTCAGGCTCCGGCAGCAACTTCGTGAGCGGTGGCAAAATCTTTGGCATGCTAACAAATCGGGGCGAAAAATGCCTAATGACACCGAAAATCAGACGAAGATGACACGATTTGACAAGATGCCCTCACGATGGCCTTACGAAGGGCAAAATGGACACACAAATTCAACACGAAAATGAACCTTCGTAAAGTCTTTCGGCAATTTTTTGGCATGCCAAAGATTTTGCCACCGCTCACGAAGTTGCTGCCGGAGCCTGAGAAACTCCACCGGCGGTCATACGATGGCTTAAGATGCCCTCACGAATGGCCCGATGTTGCTACGATCACAGCCGAATGTCCTTTATTGTGTTGTTTTATTGCACAACAAAATCATGTAAACATATTATGTAAATAACCCAATTTGTGTTCTGTGAAACTGAAAAGGATATTATATTGTTCTTGTAACTTCCGTTGCAGTTGTATGTCTTAAATGTAATTTAGGTTAATTTCCTGTTTTATTTAGATGCTTTTATTTTGAAGGAGAGTTGACAGGAAGTTGTTGTTGCTATGGAAACAACATGACGGAGAAAACGTAATATCTTTTACATATACAGACGGAGAAAGTAAAGAACAAATCTGAAAATATCAGTACAGTATCATAGTACTTTAACATAATTGTTTTTGTTACTTTCGTTGCAGTTGTATGTCTTAAATGTAATTTGTGTGTGGTTCGGGGCCATCTTCGTGCGAAATTCACAATTCCATATTCGTCTGTCCATCTGGTGTCAATTTCGGGACAGTTCCTTCCTTAAAGGAATGTAAACATGTTGAGGCGGTACTCAGGGTTTTCCTGCATCTCCTGACTGTGTTCATAAGCGTTTCAATTAGGTTTGATAAGATGATCAACTTGATTGTTATGGCACAGTAGTACTGAGACATCGAAATGCAGTAAGCATCTAACCACAAAGTGCAAAAGAAGCAATAAACCCATCCATCCATCCATCTTCTTCCGCTTATCCGTGGTCGGGTCGCGGGGGTAGCAGTTCCAGCAGAGAGCCCCAAACTTTCTTAAAGCAAAATAGGGCCTCTTTAAAGTGCTGACTAATGTGTAGTATAAGTATAAACATATGGCAAAACAAGCTAAATATACAGTACATACACATGGGCATAAACAGTAGTAGACTTTGAATACAGTTGGAAACCTCAGCTGATTAATCTGTGTATTATTATAATAATAATAATAACTTTATATAGTGTCTTTCAGAGGACCCACGGTCGCTTTACAGAAAAAACCGGAGTAAAACAAACAAACAAAACAGTCCGACAGACAAAACAACAAATGATGAGTAGTATGGAGAGAAATACAATAGTGACTATGCGTTGATTTGAGGATTTATTGTTATTTTCCTTCTCATCAGGACACGGCAGCAGTGACGAAGAGAACTCGGACCGCTCTCGGGTCGCAGTGAAGCTCTCCTCCGAACAGGAACACACACACATACAAGGTGGACACTGGATTCAGCCGTTGAGTGTACGGACGGACGTGAGCTGCCGGTGTGTTTTGGATCTGTAACGCCTGCTCCTCTCTTTCAGCGGACGACGGCAGCGACTGGTCCACGCTGACGGCCGAGAGCGGGGAGGACACTTCCTCTTGGCCGGTTGCCATGGAGACGGAGGAGTGTGAGGTCGTGAGGTGTGTGTGCGAGGTGGACGAGGAGAACGACTTCATGATCCAGGTGAGACAACCACACACACACACACATACACACGCAAATCTTACACAGGAGCAGATACAAATCCAAAAGAAAATGTCTTTCTCTGTCTTACGAATAAACCGTTCACGCTTTAATAGATATTACATTCTTATGTTTAATTTTCGCATTTAAATAGAAATACAATACATGTCTAGGGGAGGTAGATTCCTTTTTTTGTTGTATTTGCTAAATAATTTCCATTTAGCTGTGGTTTTAGTTATTCAATTTTGCAACTATCAACTCTTTTAAAGTTAATAAAAGACAACGTTTAGAGAATGCTGAATAAAATGAAGTCATAAATACTTGCTGAGCTGTACATGCGTTCGTTCATGCCTTTTCAAAAATATTCCTAACGTCTTAAATGAACGTTTGTTCTCCAGTGCAGTTATGGATTGCTGTAATGTTTTTTCCCCGGTGCATATAACTTGTGAATTGATTCTTAACTCAGTGATGGATTTGTGACATTGCATTTGTTTCTGTCTGCAGTGTGAGTCGTGTCTGTGTTGGCAGCATGGCACCTGTATGGGGTTATATGAAGACAACGTCCCGCTCAACTACACCTGCTACTACTGCAGACACACTGCAGGTAGGAGCTCTCTGTTCTACACTGTTCACATAACTGTACGCAAGTTGGCACATTTCAAAATATAATAAGAATGAGTTGGTCTGGAGTCAAATCTATGGGCTCCAGACACTCTGACGCAGTGGGCTGTGCGTTTGATCATCAGATCAAGGGGGGTGCTGGGGAACTCCAGTTCGAAACCCGCTCCCGCCCCACTGCGTCAGGCCGTTGTGTCCTTGGGCAAGACACTTCACCCGAATTTGCTCCTGTGGGTATCGTCCACAGTACATGTATGATATTAATGTGTACTTGTAAAAGCGCCTTGATGACTTCGAGGTGTGAAGATGGACGGTGTGGCGCAGTGCGCTGTGCATTAATCATCAGATCAAGGGGGTGAAAGCCGCTGCGTCTGTAAAAGCCGTTGTGTCCTTGGGCAAGACACTTCACCTGAGTTTGCTCCTGTGGGTATTGTCCACAGTACATGACCATTACATGTATGGTATGTATGTGTAATGTGTATCTGTAAAGAGCTTTGAGTCATTGAAAAGCGCTATAAAAATATAAAGAATAAAATCTAAGAAACTGTAGTGCAGGGGTGTCCAAACTACGGCCCGGGGGCCAAATGCGGCCCGCGGACCATTTTGAATCGGCCCTCAGCAAATTAAAAAAGTATAATGGAATACGGCCCACGAATGAAACTTGTGCTTGTCTTATATTGTACTTCTTAACTATAAATGTACAAATACATTACACAGTAGTATTCATGTGGTAATAAGACCACTTTTCAAATAAATTCAGTCAATTAAAGTTGGAAACATTTTCAAACATATCTTAGTTGATAAGAAAAAAGCCGAATGACTTATTTACAAGCTTGAAACACACCCTTCCTATCTCTCCTTATTATATTCAATCTGAGCTTCTGTGTTAAGGGATGAGCTGCCAACACTCACAAGCATCATATACATGTGATTAATTTTGCTAACTTATAACTGAACTGATAAGGCACAATATCTCTAGTGATGGGCCCCGCCCTTCGTATATTTTTCTGGATGTGGCCCTCGTGAAAAGTTTGGACACCCCTGCTGTAGTGCAATGTATATTCAAAGTAAGAGATATTTGTATGAAGCATAATAACAAATGTAACTTTGTACATAGCATAGATGTTTCCCCTTTCGCCGGATTATGAGACTCCTGCTGAGGTTTTGAAATGGTTTGTTGGGTCACCATTCATCATGTGAGGATTGGTGCAGCAACAGTGTATCAATCAATCTCACTTTGTCGTGGCTTTTAACCCTAAAGCCTGATTCTGTGGTCATTTGAGGACAATGACACCACAAAGAAATGCCATCAAAAGATGTATTCATATTATTTTCTACTTTCACTAAGTTAAATATTTTTACCAACTTCACTCCTGACCATTTTAGAGTTTTGACCCTTAAATGCTCGTGTTGAAATAATGTTACAGTTTAAAAAACAACAAACAACGTATTATTTTCCGTATACTAGAAACTAGGGGGATTTTTATGCATTTCATATTTTACTGTTTCCGTCCATGAAATGAAGATGAATCAAGTAAATTGATCATTTAATTCAAGAACATAAGATGATAATCTCGTAGTTCAGAAAAACAGGGCTAATGTGTTTTGATATATATATTTATGATGAATAGTGATGACAAGGTTCAAGGTTAGTTTATTTGTATAGCAAGTGCTTCACATCGGCATTCAACACATAATAGTTAAAAACAAAACAAACACACAATCAAAAACAAACCAAAAAAACCAGTTCATAAAAGCGATAAGTGCAACGACTGCTACATAGACGGTCAGTTACAGTGATATTGACAAACTGCTCTTTTTTATGTGTGTGTGTGTGTGTCATGTTCAGGGTGGAGGCGGGCTCAGCGTTTCCTCTCGGAGCCTGATTTGCTGATATCTGGTCACATGTTCGGCCTGTCGTGTGTGAAGGAGAACTACTCGGAGGTCAACGCCTCGAAGATCTCCCACACCAGCAGCCTGTTGGCTCACACACACGGTCTCAATCAGGTCCTCAGAGGCCTGCAGCTCAAAGTCAGCCTGCTACAGTGAGTACAGCAACACAAGGATCAGGAGTAGTTCAGTTTAAGTTTAAAAGAATAGTATCTACCTGTACTTTCTACAGTGAGTACAGCAACACCAGGATAACTGGACTTAAACTCCCACTCTACATTTTACATTTATATTCAATTTAATATTGAATAATCCATGTATTGCACAATTCATGTATATAATATATATATATAATGTATTATCTATCCATCTATCTATCTATCCATCTGTCTGTCTGTCTGTCTGTCTGTCTGTCTGTCTGTCTGTCTGTCTGTCTGTCTGTCTGTCTGTCTGTCTGTCTGTCTGTCTGTCTGTCTGTCTGTCTGTCTGTCTGTCTGTCTGTCTGTCTGTCTGTCTGTCTGTCTGTCTGTCTGTCTGTCTGTCTGTCCGTCTGTCTATCTATGATCAAGATTAGTTCAATTATAATTGAAAAGAATAATATTTACCTGTATTTTGGGGGAGATAAAACAAATACGTGTGCAGTGTTGTTATAAAGAAATGCATGACAAACTGGTTTTATTACTTTATTATGACATGATTTCTGAGTTAATAGCTTGAAGTCTGACAATTGTTCCGAGACTTACAGTAGCTAAAGCATGGACAAAGTCGCTGTCACAGAGAACCGCTGGGATTCCCTTCAATCAATCAATGTTTATTTATATAGCCCAATATCACAAATGTTACATTTGTCTCAGTGGACTTTACAGTTTGTACAGAATATCAGTATGACAATACGACACCCTCTGTCCTTAGACCCTCTGTCCTTAGACCCTCACATCGTACAAGGAAAAACTTCCAGAGAAAACCCACAGTTTAAAGGGAACATGGGAGAAACCTCAGGGAGAGCAACAGAGGAGGGATCCCTCTCCCAGGACGGACAGACGTGCAATAGATGCCGTGTGTAAATTGAAAAGATAATACATTTACAACATAGGTAGTCCAAATGTTTGGAAATGCATGTGTCTGTAATAAGAAGATGAATCCACGAGGATGTCAACAGTCCTGTGGGAGCCATCAGGGAAGTAGTGTGATGAGAGTCAGGCAGGACCGCAGAGACAGGTTCAGCCATGACTCGAAGTCCAGAACTCAGGATTAAGGATCCAGGACTCAGGATAGAGGATCCAGGACTCAGGATAGAGGATCCAGGACTCAGGATAGAGGATCCAGGACTCAGGACACAGGATCCAGGACTCAGGATTAAGGATCCAGGACTCAGGACCGCAGCAACAGGATCAGCCACGACTCAGGATCCCGGCGTAGATAGACACCAAAAAGAAATGTGGGGGAAGCTGGGTTATTCGGAACATGAGAATACACAGGTACACACAGACAGAAGGAAGAAGCAAGGTCCCCCCCGACAGTCTAAGCCTATAGCAGCTAAACTAACGTGTCTACGTACATGCACTCCCTTAGGATCGGGTGAGGGAAAAGGGTAGGAACTAAGATGTATGCGCCACATCTATACCATGAGCGCATTGCTCCTAAAAAGTTGTAATGTGCGCTACACAGGTCATATTATCTCTGCTGCTCTCACACTGCGAGCACCATCTGATCCTACAGTTGTAACCCTGTCCACTTTCTCACACTCAAGAAACTGGTTTCTGTCCCGCAGCTCTCCATCCCACCCTGACCTGCAGCTGTGGAGGTTGCCCTGGAGACGAGAGGAGGGGTCCAGGTCGGCCTCCAGCCCGAGAGGAGAGACCTCGATCTGCTATGTGAGCAGCGAACACTGCTACCAGAAACCAGGTGCATCATGGGAGAAATCAGAGGAGAGAGACAAGGAGACGCAGACGGTGGTGGTGAAGCTGGAGCAGGAGGTACACATTTGTATTTGTATTTACTTGCACTCTCTTATCTGTTTTATTGTGTTGCTCTGTTGGAGGAGCCTGGGACCTGAGATGTTCATCCACATAACCACACTCTAGCTATGTACGAATGACAATAAAAGCCTTGAAACCTTAAATTAAGTTTATAACTTACTTACAGATTTAAAGCAGTCGTGAAAAACATACAATATTGTCTTGTACTCCTTGAAACTACCGACACTTTTTTAGCCACCTTATGCTTTTAGTCGTTTTCCCTTTTCTGTGTCGTTTCTTTACTTCAGGAACAACACACACTCGCGCTTCTATTGGCTAGCGCTCAAACACATTGTACATGATAGGCTAAGGGGCGGGACATCTATAAGCAGGTTGACCAATCACAACAGAGCCGGCCAGCTAGCCAATCAGAGCAGACTGGGCTCTGGTTTCAGACAGAGGGTGAAAAGAGGTGCTGCAGCACAGGCAGTATGAGAAAAATAAAGAGCTTTATGAACATTAAAGCATGGAGACATGTCCCAGTAGAGACACTACAAATATGAACCTGAGAATGAGCATATATGTCCTCTTAAAGCATCCTTAGCATTTAGCTCCAATCATCGCTGTGTCTTATAATATCTTCACACAGCTGACATTTTATGAGGTCAGGTTTTTAATGTCTGCCTTTTAGAGTTGCCCTTTCCAGCTTCCATTGTTCTGCTTCTCCTCCTCCTGTTATCTGTGTTAGCTCCTCTTAATGAACAAAGTGTGACTTGGCATTTTATTTTAACCTCAGGTGACGTAAGGGTGGTGTAAAAAAAAATCAAAGCTTGTCTCATAGAAACTCAGAGACCTTTAGCAGAAGCTGTTCCTCGTGTTCACAGGAGCCTGCTGTTGCTAAGAGACCACTGAAAACCAGTTTGAAGCTTTCTGCTTGAAAATGTGGAACTATTTATACCTGCTAATGCTCTGTGAGTGTGAGGGCTATGGAGAGAGCTTCGGAGGACTTCGTTTTATCATAAAGAACATCCCTTTTTCTCCATATCTTCACTATACTTATTATCCATCCTCAGTATAACCATCACTCATCTTCATTGCATCTTCAAAAACACTTCTTGCTTCATTGTCATGTTTTATTTCAGATTGTCTCTGTGATGGTTTCCTTTGATGAAACAAGGTTTGTCTGTTTTTGTAGGAAATAAAGCTTGAAGATGTGGAGATGAGACCAGCTGATGCTACAGCAGATGCACACTCAGTGACACACACAGTGACACACACAGACACACCGCCCCGCATAAAGATAGAGAGCCACACACACACTCACACTGCGGAGCCTCGTCCAGCGTCCGAGGCCGAGTGTCAGCTGAACCTGCTGGAGCACGTGGAGACGCTGCACCATCAGATCAGCGCCAGGATGGACCTGATAGAGCGGGAGCTGGACGGTAACACGCACGCACACACACACACACACACACATGCATGCTTCTTACCCCGGGTTCCACCGGGTCCGTCTGCGCTTCGTTACGGCTGCGCCCGGTTTTGTTCCGACCTCCTACTGCGTCTAACCCCACCGGGCGCGTTTCAGAAGCGGAGCGTCTTGCCTGCCGGCTCGCAGTTTTTGTTGATTTGGGCATATTTCCTGGACAGGCTACTTTGTACAGACAAAGTTAATAATACTTATATCCCAGTTATAAACGACATGAATCAAAGATGTGATATGCATTCATCATCATAATTATTCTATATAATTTACGCAGTGCCTGTAAACCGGAGGAGAACGCTGGCATTTCTCCTCCTACTTGAAAGACGACGGAGGGATAGGGTCTGCAAAATTAGTTTATTTTGGGGATTGACTGGATGCTCTGACCGGTCCACTTCCTGCTCTGCTATGCCACGTCTCGTGTCAAAATAGACTAGCCGCCTATTTTTTGCGGAGCCCAGCGCTGAGACGCTTCTGGGACGCTTCTGAGCCGTAACGCGGCGCGTCTGGAGGAATAGCACCCATTGACTAGAGTGGCCGCGATCGATGTGAACACCGCGGCGCAGCCGTAACGCGGCGCTGACAGACCCGGTGGAATCAAGGGGAAAGGTAACATTAAGCTGTCTTTGGCTCTGTTCTGCTGTAACAATGTATATGTCCCCTCTGTGAGACTAATAAAGGTATTCTGATTATTATCATTAACAAAGTCAAAAGAAGCGTTGTTACAGATAATGGCGGGATTTTCTGTCTCTTTTCTCGGTCACATGACACGTTTCTGTCTCTGCAGTGTTGGAGTCGTGGTTGGATCACTCCGGTGAGCTCGAGCCTCCGGATCCTTTGTCTCGCCTCCCGCAGCTCAAGCAGCGAATCAGGCGGCTGCTGCGTGACCTGTGCACTGTGAGACATCTGTCCGTCTGGCGCTGACTCTTTCCCCTCCCTGACCCCTTAACTCCTGCGAGCCTCTGCTAGCCAATAGGAGCAGACGGACGGACTGACGGGCAATCACTCGACTGACGGACCTGCGGAGATGGAGTCGTGGAGCGAGTCGACTCTGCAGAGAAACTGTGCTTTGTTTACAGTCGAGAAGATGCACTACAACACGACGAGGATGAAGACGTTTTTTTTTGTGACTGAACAGGTGCTTTCTATCTGTTACATTTCACAAAAGTACCGCAACATGTCCCAAACTGTCCCTCCGTATGTTCAACAACGTGAAGATGAAAGGTTTCAGTATTGGATGGATTTTGATGAGCTGTTGTTATGCAGGTGTTTGGGAAACTTTTCTCTGTTCGGGAGGCTCTACAAACTTAACTGCATGTGTTCTCATTAGCATCAGATTACCGTGTAGTGTTAGCATCAGCCGTTTCCTAGCAACCATCTAACCTGAGAAACTGTGTTACGACCTAAAAGAGTAACAAAGCTCATGAAAACATCGAAAGGATTTGGGCTGATTTTTTTTAAAACATTAAGATTCGATGCTTCTATAAGTTTCCTACGGCAGAGATTTTTAAAAATGTTGTTTCGGCGATTCCTCTGAAATTAAATAGATTTTGCAGCAAAGTGTCACCATTTTTAAATCCTCGTTGGAACGGGCTGTAATTATTATTTTTAGTAAAATGTAGTTAAAGGGACGGTTCATACCTGTTTTGCTTTTAGGAATCTAGTAAGACGGAGACATATGAGATCGTCCTTCTTTCTCTGTGTAATGTTAACGCTTAAAAACTGTCTCGACGGCGTCTTCCACACACTATCTGTGTCTCTTAAAGGGATGGCGCTGTGGGAAATGTAGTTTTTTTATAGTCCCTTGACTACAGAGGTGACATTATATGGCCTTTTTCACATTTTTTTTAACTGGTTCTAACAATCATGTGTTTTAAGAATGTTTTAGTAACATTTCGCTTCAAAATCAGTTCATATCAAAGGAATCGCTGCATTTATGGGCTCCATATTTTCACATCAAATTAGTTTTTGGTGGACCCTATTTCTGTCTGAACCACACAGATGGATGTATAGAGGATTTATAAAATACGATATAGGATCGTCTTTCTCTCTTTAGGAAACGAGCTCAGTACTTCCTTCACTTTCTCTTCCTTTTTTCCTTTTTTCTCTCGTTTGATATTTTCAGGTTTTAGGTATATTATTCGACTTTTCTAGATTTTTATCGGTGCTTTTGATTGTTTTCTGCATAATGTCTCTTTCTGACATACGAAGAAAAACCCTAAAAGCAATGTTTTAATCCGCTTCTACTTCGTTCTTGACATTTGGGAACTGTATACGTCACAAAATAATATCCGCTCGCAGGTTCATTTTGTGTTTCGGTGCTCTCAGATTTTTCAGCAAAAACAGCTAGCTTGTTATAACCTGTACAAATATTTCTTTCAGTTTAATCTCATATACTCGTCTCTGTTGGTAATAATCATTCATTTCAGATGAAGAGTATTGATCGTTTCTTTCATCGAGGCCAGTGTAATAAACTGTTTTCAGTCAAATTAACCAGCACGACGTTCCTTTGTTGTGACAAAAAACTCATTCTACGTGTAAATATGTCCAGGTAAATGTTTTATACACTTGTGTAAGAAGCTAACTGTAAAAAGCTGTAGATTTATTTTCATAGAGAGATTGGTTATGAATCAGGTTGGTTAATATCTGATGTGTTTGAAGAACGCAGAGCTTCTGTTGTTTCTCTTTAGTTATCGTGCAACCGCATTTGTTTTAATTGTTAACTGTTTTTATTTCAGTTCATGGTGCGTTCAGGCGGTCCTCCACAACTCGAAGAATCTAATCTCTCCTGTTGAAAGAAAGGCAACTTTATTAATATAGCTCATTTCAGCAACAGGGCAATTCAAATCATTACAACCAACATTAAAAGGGCGTGATCAAATTACAGTTAAATACATGGAAAAACTTTCAAAATAGACATTTTAAAGAACGTGTGAGATGTGAATAACTCTTTGATTTAATAAAGGGGCAAAAAAGTAAAATATTTAGCCTTGATTAAAAAGACGTTCATTTGTAGCACGCCTGCAGTTTTCATTTAAACATCCACATGTTTGTAGACACTCGATTTTCCGAGATGGAGAGGACACGCCTGAAGGCAACACAGGTTCACACACATTAAGCGACAAAGTCAATGTTTTGTTTCTGTATTCTGTTTAAAGCATGAAGTTTTCTGACGAATTTTAACTTTGATTAAAATGAAGAAATTCCCGTCTGTGTGTTCGATGTTTCATTCAGGAATGAATCAGGAAATTCATCCACCTCTGAACAGTCTGAAAAGCTGCCAACCAAACTTCAGCTCACTTTTAAAGGTCCCATGACATGGCCATTTCTACTGATCATATTTCCATTGTTGAGGTCTACTAGAATAGATGTGCAATTTTCAAAAATCACATTGGTTTCTCATACAGCATCTCTGTATAGTATGTGTATTCACTCCCTGTCCTAGCTCTTGCCCCCCTCCCTGTGAGCCCAGTGTGCTCTGATTGGTCGGGACGTTGCGAGGCTCGTTGCTGCTGAAACCTGTCCGCTCCTCGCATTTCCGGGTCGGCGATACAGCGAGAACAAGGTAAACTCATCCTGAGCACACACAAGCACTCACAGCCGAAGTAAAAACAATAAGTGTGGCTTGATATTGAGTAAGAAAAAGGTTTATAACGCTGTGAGAATGGGTCTGCGGAGAGCATTCCTCCGCGATCCCAACTCGTCTATTACCAGCGTTCAGGGAGCTCTATGCAAGTCAATGGGACTCCCTGTTAGTTAGCCAAGGGATCCTGGTGTGTGAGGAGCTCCGCGGATTGGTCCAGTTGGGTGTTCACACATCACAGAACCCAGGAAGAAAACAATGGAAAATGAGAAATCTCCAACGAAGCGTTTTGGGGCAGCATAGACTGTGTTAGAGTTTTACTCGCTACAGGGTGAACTTTGACGGTTTTGACTCTGCAGACCGTTCACATGCATAAAAACCTTCATAACACACAAGGGGACGGGTAATAACCGGAAAAGCATGACATGGGACCTTTAAGTTTAAAGAGGAGACAGCCAGGGCAAATGGGAAAAACATTTTAAATTAAAAAGGAAATATGTTTTTGTTTTCCCTTTCCTGTAATAGGTGTGTGTGCATGTCAATGGTCTGCAGAGGATAACATCCCAAAGTTCCCTACAGAGGGAGTTTCTCTACCACAACAAATAAATAAACAGATTTTTGAATATTAAAGCATAGAAAGATGTCACAGTAGAGACGCTAAATACAAATATGAACCAGAAAATTAGCATTAAAGCGACCTTTTGACAATTGAATATGTATTTTGGATGTTTTTTTATCCCCTGGTTCAGTGAAGATGTGTGTATTATATTTCATGAAGAAAATCTTTTGAGATATTTTTTCACTCTGGACCAAAGTCACTGACCAACACTTCCTCCTCTACAGCCACAGTGATCACATGGCTACAAATCTATATTGAGGCTTTTGTTTTGCTTCTGAACAGCCGGGGGAGGGCACACACACACACACACACACACACACACATTAATTGTGCCATGAGGGAGTGTCCTCTGAACAAACAGTGAGACCATCTGGCTGATGGGTAGAAAACATAAATCAACATAAATACAGATACTCAATCGAAACAAACATAATTAACATTTCTAGAAACCCCAGTGACCAGTGGTGTCATGTCACTACATCTGTTGTGCATTTAGTTTTGTCTTCAGGCTTTATTCTGTATTTGTCTTAACTGTTGAAATGAAAACATCACAACAAACAAACGTTGGTTTTTAATATTTTCATTAAAGCTGAATGTGATTACCTCAAACTGGAACATTTCACTTGATCATGAATTACCTGTTTCTGACAGTGTCTATTTTAGAATGAAATAAAATATACATTAAAAAAAAGATTTAAAAAAACAAATATATATATATATAAATAGAAAGGTAAATGTGTAATAAAAAGAGAAAACTAAGTTATTTATAAAGACATAACAAGTAAAGCAGTTAATTGTACTACAGTTTGTATATTACATAATACAATATTTGGTGCAGTTTTCTAAGTTCATATGAAGAAACCACTGATTTGTTCTAAATTTGAAACACGGCCAGGACTCTTTTCTTTTTCTCTTCCTGCCAGAAAAAGTAGAATCCAACCAAAAAAATCCATCTGGCTTCATCTCGAGTTAACTTCCCAACACTCCTACAAACAGACCGCTGCTGAACAGAGGAGAGGACGAAGAGATTATACAAACAAGGATGTGTGTGTGTGTGTGAGTGCGTGTGCGTGAGCTATTTGCTTAGATGTATTTGTATAACCACAGTATGACTGGTCTAAATTGTCCGCAACACTTTGTATAATAACATTTCCCTAAACAGGTGCATGCAAATCTCTCTTCAATGCACTGATTCTCTCTTTGAGCACAGATTGAGAGCGCATTGAACTCAAACTAAGAAAACAATAAAAACAACCTTTCAAAAGCATGTATTCGATAGGGAACTTCTTTTTTTTAATATCTTATGTATTGCTGTGGATTCAACCTATTCTAACACTATATATATACATACATACAAACATACATAAATACCTACATACAAACATATAACATCAGGCACAAACACAATAGAGGAGAGCTTATAACAGGTTTAGACAAGATAGTTTAGTTACACTAATGCAGCAGTGATATAGGTCCAGAAACAAAATGTATTAGACAACAATAATAGTGAACATTTGACTGCACAATGAGTTTTAACATTTTAACTTTCATGTCAGATGATAATTTTGTGTTTTTTGACTACTTTTCCATGTTGGGACCATATTACAAAAGATAAATCAACTACTAAATTCAGTTATTTTTAATACTTTCTACTTTTTTCAGCTCTTTCTAAATATAAATAACACCTGTTAGAGTTTGGTGACCTCGTGACCGCGCACTGAATGCACGCCCTCTTGTTTACGGTGACGTAGCTCCGCCCCTTTACTCCGCGTGCTGCTGACAGTGAGCTCAGTGTGAGAGAGGAGCCTCGCGACCACCTGCTAAACTCTCCAACGGTTATCAGTTGACGGTGACGGGCTAACGTCTAGTAGCAGCTAACCAACTAACGAACGGAACACTTCAGTATCCAGTGGAGATAACGACTGACGGTTAGTAACTAACTGCTTTGTAACGGACAACGTTTGCAACGTAACGGCTACCTATTATCTGATAACTATGAATAGCTAGTGTAGCTCATTAGGCTAATTGTCGTATTAACGGGTACTTGTGAGTTAGCTCGTATGTTATTGATCCGTCCTTGTGAGGGTTATCTTCTATGGCGACGGTGTATTTGGTTACTGCCGTGTCTCTGTGTCTATCCGTGTGTGTGTGTTCGTGTGCTAGTGTGGGGCAACGTCTCCCATAGTAACGGTTGCTACGCCTGAGCTGTGTGTCTGGAGCTAACATTAGCATCCAGGCTCATTAATTAGGCAGCATTTAAGTGTGTGTGTGTGCGCGCGTGTGTGTGTGTAGGCGGACAGTTGAACCAAGAGCATCGTTATACACTCACTTCAGCTTGGAAATGCAGTTAACGCAAACAGATATGATGCTCAGCTTCATTTTTAGTTAGACTTGAAATGTCTAATACTTTCACAAGTTATCTTTCAGAGTATCTGTGTGCATGATCAATACATTATCCAAGTTCCAGGTGAACGTCAACACGTAACGCTGCAACTTTATGCTACTTAATATAAAGGGAAAGCGTACAGGGTTCTCATTTTCTATGACTGATCTACAAGAAAAGTTAACATCATTTAAGGGATCTTGGATACACAGAGGTTGTTGTGATGGACAAACACAGCAAATCACTAATCCTTCTTAATCAATTTATCAAATAACCAAAGTGGACAACCTTAACATTTGAGAGGAACAGGAGATAATACTGAAAGGAAGCTGTGATTGCAAAAGAGGAATGCAATGTAATTTAAATGAAAAATGTTAAAGTTCAGAAAGGATTACCTTAAAACATGTATTGTATCATCTTGTTGAAATTCCTGAATGTTTTTCATATGATAATAAATAATAACAATATTGCAGTTTTAGTGCATTTTTTAAATAGTTTTTCTGAACATCTTGCACCGCTAGTTTGGTTTCATACTCTCTGCATTCCTCTCAATCAACAGAAAAAACCGTTTATGAAGGACGATTTGATGATTTTAACTATATCGACAGTACATCTCATCTCTGTGCACTGATCAAACTTCAGCTTCACTGTCAGTCAGTTATCTGTTTGGGTCAGAGCCAGATTGCCCACAGGAAGCTCAACATCCATCTAAACTACTCCGAACCACTGTTACCCAAGCTGTCTGCCCACACACACACACACACACACACACACACACACACACACACACACACACACACACACACACACACACACACAGCTGGATGGCTTACTGCCAATGAGAGGTCACTCGCTCTTTCCATTGGATTCACACTGTTGGATAAGACACAGGAAGACACCCAGAGACAGACAGATAGATGGGCAGACAGACAGGTAGCAGATCTGGATCATGGATGCAAGATAATTACATTTTACGCAAAAAACCTCGGCCAAACTGACTTCGGGCTATTCTTTATTTTGTTGGACTTTACGTGCATGTTTACCTGTTGTGCTGCTTTTACCATTAATTCATCAGCTTTAAAGATGACTTTGAATTCCAAAATCCCTGACAGACGCTCACCTGTAACAGTTTGATAGGTGTTACTGTCTAACACCGTACCTTTCTCCAAATGTTTTGTCTTTTTTAAATCTGCCATGAAGACGTGTGTGTTCAGGTTGACAGTAAAGCAGTTCTATAATGGAGGAGCTTCACGACGTCCAGCTGACTGAGATCAAACCTCTCCTGACAGGACAGGTACAGCACCATTTTGTTTGATAACACATGACTAAAGGAATATTCAACAAAGACATATCTTACCATCAGATCCATATGCTAGATGCTTGAACTCATTTCATAACAACAATGATTAACGAATGTCTCTCTCTCTTCAGAATGGGAGAAATCTGCAGGACTTTGACTGTCAGGTGAGTTCAGCACCGTCATGTAACACCTTCACACCTTTCCTCTCCTTGGCACTATGTAGTGCTAGAATCTGAATACAAATACGATAGGACTTTATCGTCAGATCAAGTCCGACATTTTTCTTGCATCACAGAAGCTTCCGTTTCAACATCAGACAACGACAGATCTTAAGACTCAATACAAGGAAAACAAGGCACTTTTAATGGTGTTATTAAACCCTGAGTAACGTACAGTCACATTGGTACATCGGTTAATTTACTTTATTTTAAAGAATGATCCTTTTTATAAGTACTCAATTGCAATGGATTTGATGCATTCGACAGCCCTATTAAAAATATAATGGAAATTGTTTGTTTTTTAATGTAGCAAGGACGATTCATTTATAGGTTGGACAATTAAATGATGTCCTCTCTGCAGCACTCTAACCTTATTGTCCATGGAGATGAACTAACATAACTACGCACAACAACAAAACAACAGGCAGGAAGTCTAAACAGTGTTACTGCTGGTTTCAAAGTAGAGGGGTTGACAAAAAACATATTCTTTAGAGTCAATGCGCCTGATAACAATTTACACAATATCGATTTGTCTATAATTTGTCTTCTTCATGTTATAAAAAGTAAATATTTATGTGGAGATATGTGAGGAAAACTGTATGCAAGAGGTCAAACATCAGGCTGAAACTAGTTCAATAAGCATCAGCTCCACACTCTGATATTGATCGACTCGTTGGACTGACGTCAAAACAGCAGGTCAGTTTGCATCAATGACTCTGAACAGACAGTTATTTCTAATTAGAGCACAGAATAACAGCTCTGCCTTTGTCTGCTCCTGCAAAACATCCTGTGGAATACTTTAAAGCTATTCCCATCTGTCACTCAACTGAAAAACTGCAGTTCATCTCAGGGAAGTCTGCATTTTTAACTACGTTTCAACACAGCCGGGGAAAGAAGAGAAATGAAAACAAAAAAATCCTTTGTGTTGAGATTTACTTTATAGTTCAACCCTGTAGGAGATTTTAATTGGGTTTCCACCTATGCTTTCTACATCAAGGAAACAAGAAATATATCCATGAGCATAACACTAGTGCATATACAGGCTGAAATAGATTAATAAAGTTAAAGGGGACCTATCATGCAAAATGCACTTTTTGATGTCTTTTATACATACAGTGGGGCAAACAAGTATTTAGTCAGCCACCAATTGTGCAAGTTCTCCCACTTAAAAAGATGAGAGAGGCCTGTAATTTTCATCCTAGGTACACTTCAACTATGAGAGACAGAATGGGGGGAAAGAATCCAGGAAATCACATTGTAGGATTTTTAATGAATTAATTGGTAAATTCCTCGGTAAAATAAGTATTTGGTCACCTACAAACAAACAAGATTTCTGGCTCTCACAGACCTGTAACTTCTTCTTTAAGAGCCTCCTCTGTCCTGCACTTGTTAACTGTATTAATGGCACCTGTTTGAACTCGTTATCAGTATAAAAGACACCTGTCCACAACCTCAAACAGTCACACTCCAAACTCCACTATGGCCAAGACCAAAGAGCTGTCAAAGGACACCAGAAACACAATTGTAGACCTGCACCAGGCTGGGAAGACTGAATCTGCAATAGGTAAGCAGCTTGGTGTGAAGAAATCAACTGTGGGAGCAATTATTAGAAAATGGAAGACATACAAGACCACTGATAATCTCCCTCGATCTGGGGCTCCACGCAAGATCTCACCCGTGGGGTCAAAATGATCACAAGAACAGTGAGCAAAAATCCCAGAACCACACGGGGGGACCTAGTCAATGACCTGCAGAGAGCTGGGACCAAAGTAACAAAGGCTACCATCAGTAACACACTACGCCGCCAGGGACTCAAATCCTGCAGTGCCAGACGTGTCCCCCTGCTTAAGCCAGTACATGTCCAGGCCCGTCTGCAGTTTGCTAGAGAGCATTTAGATGATCCAGAAGAGGATTGGGAGAATGTCATATGGTCAGATGAAACCAAAATAGAACTTTTTGGTAAAAACTCAACTCGACGTGTTTGGAGGAGAAAGAATGCTGAGTTGCATCCAAAGAACACCTACTGTGAAACATGGGGGTGGAAACATCATGCTTTGGGGCTGTTTTTCTACAAAGGGACCAGGACGACTGATCCGTGTAAAGGAAAGAATGAATGGGGCCATGTATCGTGAGTTTTTGAGTGACAACCTCCTTCCATCAGCAAGCGCATTGAAGATGAAACGTGGCTGGGTCTTTCAGCATGACAATAATCCCAAACACACCGCCCGGGCAATGAAGGAGTGGCTTCGTAAGAAGCATTTCAAGGTCCTGGAGTGGCCTAGCCAGTCTCCAGATCTCAACCCCATAGAAAATCTTTGGAGGGAGTTGAAAGTCTGTGTTGCCCAGCGACAGCCCCAAAACATCACTGCTCTAGAGGAGATCTGCATGGAGGAATGGGCCAAAATACCAGCAACAGTGTGTGAAAACCTTGTGAAGACTTACAGAAAACGTTTGACCTCTGTCATTGCCATAAATAAATAAAAGTTCTAGCTGTTGGGCTAATGGACATTTGACAGTCAGCCTAATGTATATTGATGTGTCTTGTCATGCACACATAGTGTCCTCCTCATGAAACAAACAAACACAACAACAACTCAAATATATCAGGTTATATTGTTATATAGGTTATATTGTTCATATTATTTTTTGAAATGAGTATATATATATTATGTATTATATTTAAAACAACTGCAGTATAACATTTGATTGTCTCTTATTTGACACTTTAAAGTTTGAATTATATTTAAATTTGAGGAAAATCCACAGTAAAAAAGACATTGAAACTTAAAGAATCATCGTACATAATCATGACATCTATATTGACCACAAATAATTGAGAATATGCTTAATAATAAAAAAGAATCAGCCAGGCTTAGAGCTACATTACATCTCATTTAGCTCACACTCTTATCCAAAGCGACCTACATACACTAATAGAGTGCCACAGTGAAATATAGTCTAAAAGTCTTCGTAAAGTCAAGAAAGTATTTATTTTTAAACCGTTGTTTTCGTCTTATTTCCAGTGGAAAAAAGGTTTGTTTACCAACTTATTTCATCATGTTTACATCAAAGGAATCCTGGAAGAGTATCACTTAAAACAAGTGGTATGAAAAAGTCACAAAAAAAGCCATAATTGTTCAGTAATATGAAAAAAGAAATTACAAATATTGTGAAAACAGGATTAAAATAGTCATATTCTAGTATCTCTTTATACAAATGTATAGCATAGTATGACATACAAATAAATCGGTCAAAAGGTTGATGGAAACAAATATATGACAGATTAAGGCTGGAGCCACATGAGGACGATAACGCAAACGGACCAAAATCGATATCAAAAAAGTCTTCCGTCCACACGCAATAGGCACCAGAAACGTGTCCGTTCACAGGAGACCGCTCGAAAGCGCTGGAGACGCTGTAGTAAATATGCCAGGCCTGTAAGTGGTGCTGTACTCCTGCCACAAAAGCAGTGAAGAAGACTTCCCGCGCATGGTTGCCCTTCTGTTTATTCTCCGCGGTGGCTCTTTTTCTCCCTCCCTGAGGCAAGCGTTTGCTCCTGCTGTAAATCTCTCCGGTAGTCCACCAGCAGATGAAAAACACCCACCTCTCCGCCTCTTCCAAGGGACGAGGGGACCGTGCGGCAGAGTTTCAGTTCGATTTTATTTCGCCGGTCAACATGTCCGTTAAAGTTGAAATCTTCCGGACAAAATTAGAAAAGTGCTGGTCAGAGGTCTTTGTTATTTATTGAGCTTTAAAACAAATTGATAACAACTATATAATAATAAAAAACGGAGCCTCCTTTTTCCTCCCCCTCTTCTGAGAGCCCAGCAGCTGATCTCTGAGCGGGAGAGGTGGGGAGAGGCGGGGCTATTGCTTCAACTTTATAAAAAATGATCGTATAAGCGTAAACACGGAGCCGTTTGCCCCCCCAGAGCGTTTCGTTTGCAGATCTACCCACCTTGGGACCCGTTATCGTTATCGTTTTATGCATTTCCATGTCGGCCTCATGTGCCCGAACCGTCTATATGATAGAGAACTGTAGCGGATATGACCGTTATCGTCCTCGTGTGGCTAGGGCCTAAAAAAAGTCGAGAAAAATAGAAAAAAAGTCATACTTAGTATTGTTACGACCCTGGTCGTTATGTGTATTGTGTGTAGAGATTTCCTTTGAGTCTTTTAGTCCTTTAGAATTATTAGGTAGGTTTAGTAGTAGGCATGGTTAACAAAACTGTGGATTTGTGTCTTAAGGGGGGGGTGTCACGGCTGCTGCTGCTGTCTGCTCGTTAACCTGTCTGGGATTGTTTTCAGCTGTGTATGTTATATGTATATGAGATGTGCCGTTGCCCGGACGCGATTGGATGCCAGTTTCCTGTCCCTCCTCTGGTAGGCGTGACCGAAGATCTGGATTGGAGCAGGTCGGGCCCGACTCACCAATCCCTGCCCACACCTTCCGGGGACTCTTACAAGAGTGTGTGCATCTCAGTTAGACGGGAGAGGTCTGAATCTGTGTCAGACGTCTCTCGGTGCTCTCCTTATGTTCTGTGTAGCTCTGGGCTAGTTCTGCTACAGTGGTTAGTTAGGGTGTGTGCTTAAGTGTGTATTCTGTGATTTGTGACGGCGTCGAACTTGTGCGAGACGCCTCACTATTTTAGCCTTAAGTGCCCATAGTGCGCTATGACTGTGATAATCTGTGGCCTTCGTTTTGTGTAGCGTTATTTTGAACAGATAGCTGGTTTTAAGAGCCTGTATTTTTGGTTATATCATCTTTATTTTGAATTTATTATTAAAATCAACCTCTTACCAAGAACACCTGGTTTCGTGTTGCTTCCCTTTTACCCTAAGCGAGCTGGGGACGTAACGGTATATATAAGTATGTCCAACGTATAACACAAATAACCTGGGTTTGGAACAGTAACATGTGACAATTGTTGAGAATACATCATTATTTTTGATATAATATTGTTAATATTCTTAGAAAAAGGCAATATTTTGAAGTATGTCTTAAATTCTAAATTACAGAAAAATCTAAAATCTTACCAAATACCAACAACTACTTCACAAAGTGCAAAACAGTTCTTATGAAGTCAGCAAAATCCTTAAAGATCATATCTATATTAGTACGTTTCATGTGTAAGATCTTTATATTTAAAAGAAAGATATTACACATAAAACATGTGCTAAATGCTGCTGCTGACTTGGTTAC